AAACAAACTGAGGGTTCTAGAGGGGAGGGGGTGGGGGGATGTGTTAGGCTGGTGATGGGTATTAAAGAGGGCACATACTGAATGGAGCACTGGGTGTTATACGCAAACAATGAATCATGGAACCCTACATCAAAAACTAATGATGTAATGTATGGTAATTAACATAACATAAAAAAAATTAAAAAATTCTATATATATTCTGAATATAAGTCCAGTGTAAGGTAGATAATAAACTTCATACTGAATATTAAGATCTTAGAAGTAGATTTCTATATGCCTTTTATGAAATGGTAAACCACAGAGTGGTAGAAAATATTCATAATGCTTATTATCAAAAAAGAACTTCTATATAGACAATATAAGGAATTCCTACCAATAACATGCAAAAAAATTTCAAATGGGTAACAGACTTGAACAAATACTTTAAAAAGAGAATATCTGAATGACCAATAAACAAAAGAAAAAAATGTTTAACCTCATTATTTTCAGGTAAATGCAAATTAAAACCACTGAGATACATCTACTAGAATGGCTTAAATTAAAAAGACTGACCATAATGAAAGTTGGCAGGAATGTGGAATAACAGAACTCTCACACACTGCTGATAGAGTTGTAAACTGATAGAATTAGTTTGGAAAACAGTTTGGCATTATTTACACAAGTTGAATGGATGCATAATCTATGTCTCAGGCATTTTACTGCTAGATATATCTCCAGAATATATAAAGATATCATGTGTGCCCCATGAAACATGTACAAGAATGTTTATAGCAATATTATTCATGATACCCAAACTGGAATCAACCCAAGTTTTATTAATACTCAAATGGATAAATAAATTATAGTATAATTCAATCAAGAGAATATACTAAAAAAATGCATGAACTGTAGCTATATGCAGTAACACGTATAAATAACATGCATAAATATCACAATCATAATGTGAAGTGAAAAAAGCCAGGCACAAGGAACATACATTGTTTAAGTCTAGAAAGTTAAGAAAATATGCAAAACTAACTATGACATTTAGATGTGCACTCACATGGTAAAACCACAAGAGAAAAGAACAGGAGTGAATGCCATAAAAAGTTCAGGGCAGCAGTTACCCTTGCAGAAGGAGTAAGAGAACTGATATTGGGAATAGACATGATGGGGCTTCTGGGGTGGTGGCCATTATTTGACCTGGGTGGTGGTTATATGGGGGTTTGTTTTGTGATAATTTACTGAGCTTCACTTTTCTGTTTGTAATATTTTACAATAAAAAGTTAAGAGCAAATAGAAAATGTTATCCCTGCGTTCAAAGGAATAGCACTTGGAATCAGTTCACAGCCCTTCCCGGGGCTGCATTGCTCTGATTAGACCTTCTGCCCCGTCATCTTAGGCCTTCCCCTTTTTGCTCTCTGCTCCAGCACTCTGGCTTTTGCAGAAATACCCTCCATTCCAATCCCTCATGAAATCCCTGGGATCTGTCTTCCAATCATATCCCCAATCTGCCTGCTTCTCACCACCTCTACTGCTATCATTCTGGTCTAAACTAAAAATAATTTCTCTTCCCTTTACTCAGGGTGGAGAACAAGATCCATGAGGAGAGAGGCCAAGGAATTGACAAGCCAGGGTTTGTGTCACCGAAGAGGGGGATCTTTGCAGATACTAAGAATGATGGCAGGAGTGACTGTGTGGGGAGAGGGACAGAGAGTTGGGAGACCTGGGACCCAGGAAATAGGAGACGAGTGAAACCAAAGCAGGTCATTGGTGGCACAGCCTGCGTGACATACCAGTGAAGTCTGGGGGCTGTTGGGAAGTAGGGAGACGTTGTGGTTTCGGCAGCCACAACAAGCAGCCAGAAGGAGGCCTTCCCTACTCCGAGCCCTGTGGGACAATTACCCAACTGACAGTGTAAAATTAAGAAAACGGAGAAATCCTGTGAATCCCAAAGTCCTACAAATTATAATCAAGTATAGACAGGTAGCTAGCTAGCTGGGTAAGGATTTACCTTTCCTTTGTAATTTTCTGCAAGCAAATTGCAAAGTGTTGTTTTCCCTGAAGATTGAGGCCCAAATATGAACACTTTAAATGGTGGTGCCGGCATAGGTGGAAGAAGATAGGGACGTGGGTTCAATAAAAATGTTTTTAATGCTTCTTCTGTTGAAAGACAGTATATTTTACCTAGAAAACTTAAAATATGCCATAATCATAAACAACTGAAAAGAGGTGTGGGCAGGTTTTCAAATTAAGTTTTGAAAATCTTACTTACCTCACAGAAAAATCTGGTAATCCTGGAAAAATGTTACCTTCTTTGAGAGTCACAGGACATGTTCGTCCCCATCGGCTTCTCTGCCATCTATATCTTGGTGCGATAAGTTTATAAGATGCCAGAGTACGGAACAGCTCATCCTATTAATAACAAATATGACACTAAAAATGTGGGCATAGTTTTGCTAAAATTACCAGTATTAAGTATTTCCTTTCTTATTTAATAGTGCCTTACTGTTTACGAGATAATTTGGAAAGCAAATTTTGGCTTTTTTCTTAATTGCAACCATTCTGGGTGGCTCAGTGGATTAAGTGTCTGCTATCGGCTCAGGTCATGATCCCAGGATCCTGGGATCAAGTCCCTCATCGGGCTCCCTGCTCAGTGGGGAGCCTGCTTCTCCCTCTGCCTGCTGCTCCCCCTGCTTGTGCTCTCTCTCTGTCAAATAAATAAATAAAATCTTTAAAAAAATTGCAACCATTCTGTACTTGTCCAAAATTTAGTAAGACAAATAGTTAAGACCTTGTTTTAAATTTTATTTATTAAACTCACTTTTTGCAGATGATATGATACTTTATGTGGAAAACCTAAAAGACTCTACCCCAAAACTGCTAGAACTCATATAGGAATTCAGTAAAGTGACAGGATATAAAATCAATGCACAGAAATCAGTGGCATTTTTATACACCAACAATAAGACAGAAGAAAGAGAAATTAAGGAGTCGATCCCATTTACAATTGCACCCAGAACCATAAGATACCTAGGAATAAATTTAACCAAAGAGGCAAAGGATCTATACTCAGAAAACTATAGAATACTCATGAAATAAATTGAGGAAGACACAAAGAAATGGAAAACGTTCCATGCTCATGGATTGGAAGAAGAAATGTTGTGAAAATGTCTATGCTACCTAGAGCAATCTACACATTCAATGCAATCCCTATCAAAATACCATCCACTTTTTTCAAAGAAATGGAACAAATAATCCTAAAATTTGTATGGAACCAGAAAAGACCCGAATAGCCAGAGGAATGTTGAAAAAGAAAAGCAAACCTGGTAGCATCACAATTCCGCACTTCAAGCTCTATTACAAAGCTGTCATCATCAAGACAATATGGTACTGGCACAAAAACAGACACATAAAACAATGGAACGGAATAGAGAGCCCAGAAATGGACCCTCAACTCTATGGTCAACTCATCTTCGACAAAGCAGGAAAGAGTGTCCAATGGAAAAAAAGACAGTCTCTTCAACAAATGGTGTTGGGAAAATTGGACAGCCACATGCAAAAGAATGAAACGGGACCATTTCCTTACACCACACACAAAAATAGACTCAAAATGGATGAAAGACCTAAATGTGAGACAGGAATCCATCAAGATCCTTGAGGAGAACACAGACAGCAACCTCTTTGACCTCAGCCGCAGCAACTTCTTCCTAGAAACATCGCCAAAGGCAAGGGAAGCAAGGGCAAAAATGAACTATTGGGACTTCATC